CCAAATCATTTACCTTTACGTTTTGGTTGAGAAGCTGTAGATGAAGGTTTCTGATTTTCTTAGTGTGCAAATAAATTGGTATATCATCTGGCCCTACAATTGCCATGATGATTATGAAAAACACTTGTTCTTGTTAAGGTGGTCTTAACTTGAGAATTTTAGTCTCCCAAGGCCATACTCTTCAGCATATATCTGTCAGCTTAGGTAAGAAGACTGTTAAACTATAGCGTACTTAATTTGCCAGGAATGCTCAAATTAAATCAAAACACTCAAATGTTGCAACATTGAAATTGGAGACTAGGAATGGGTTAATTCCACCTCTTCTAAATAGTATGCGGGAGCAATGTCTTTTCCATTGAATAGATGAAAGTAAAGAATTAAGCAGCAAGCAAAAGGGACTCAGCAACTGTGTGATTTAATTGCCAAATAAATAAGAGACCAAAGAACACAGCTAGTCAGAGGATGAAACAGCCTGATGTGCTTTTCACAAGTATCAGCCCAAGCATAAAAGTGACGGGCTCCATGTATGACTGCACAAAGTAACAGAATGAGGAAATCCAGCAACAAATCTGTGGTGACCTGGGGCACGGCACAGAGACTGGCAGCTGGCAGTTCAAATCGCCCTTTTATTGCTCCAAATTGCTCCAAATTCTCCTACTTTTCTGGCAAGTCCCAGAGCAAAATGATCACACACACACCTCAAGTAGCCTCTGGCTGCAAATAGTCCAGCCCGACACTGTGAATACCACGGCTGCACAGCAAGAAATCCAGCAGGGCAAGTTGAAGAGTCCAGGAAGCAAGGGAGCATGGCAAGTAATCCATAAATCCAAAAAGAATGCAAGGACTCTAGGAAAAGTAAACATTCCAGGAATTCAGCATTTGTTCCCGACAAATGCCCCTCCCCATAGCGTCTCCTTAAGTCTCAGTTCCCAGGTGTGCCTTGTGAAGAGGGGCGGGGTGCACTCCTCCTGAGTAGTTGGCTCGGTCTGCACTGTTCTTGCCTTCTCTCCACTCTCCGTGCTCAGGAATCAGGAGAGGGTGGTCTTTGCTCATCACCTGAGCTCTTGTCTCACATGTTCACTGCTTAGCCTCTCTTGCCCTGCCTACAAGCTGTCCTAATCCTGAGAGGCCTGGCCTTGCTCCTCCCCATTTTCCTCTGAAGCCAACGAAGCTGCTCCCTTGATCTCTAGTTCCAGCTCATCACCCCCGGTGGGGGCATGACAAAGTCTATATGTAATATATTAGGACTGAGGACCACTTAGAACAGTTCTTCCTACATCAGACAAGGCATAGTACCAACAACAGTAACTGTCCAACAACCAGCCAATGTATCAGACAGCACAAACAATGGGCAACCATATCCACCAAAGAGGGTACAATAGCAACCAACCTTTCTAGGCCAGAAACAGTATGGATCACCTTTTCTTCTGTTTCCAGAATGGCAGCAGTAAACTAAAATTATGCCCAAATGTGAGAGCTCCAGCAAATATACCTCTTAATAGGAAAATTTTCAGATCAAAGTCACATACAAGTTTAAATAGGCTGCTCCAGACAAAAAGAAAGAGTGCAGAAAACCACTCTTTTCCATCCTCCACCTTGACATGTTCCAGAGCAAAAAGAGATTCAATGAATACAAGAAAAAGATTTGGGAAAGAAAGTGACAACTATCCCAAAAGAACTACAATAGAAAGAGGGTTCCTAGCCCTAAATTTCTACAATAATGAGGAAGATATTTCAAAATTTATTTGGGATATTGAAAAGAGAGTCTTGAGATGTACAGTCTGAATCCTTCCTCATTAAGTTTAAATGGGGAGTGGGCCAGTTGTTGGATGAAAACATCATGCAAACCTTGCCTCCCTTTAAGAGCTTAATGCTGACTCATTCTCAGACATGCTTCGTAAGTCAACAAATCACTCTATTTGGAATTGTATCTTAGCAACCCAACGGCTATTGTCTTTGAAAGAATTACAAGGATGCTTCCTACAGGGAGTGCCATGGATCTCAGTGTTCCCTTCTGGATGTCTTAATTGAAATAACTGAGCAGATGGAGCTGGCCAAGCGATAACATCCCTTATTTTAGTGAACTCTAATGTACTTTCCACTCAGGGAGATAAAGTAATGGTTACCAATACTTCTAGTATTAATGAAATAAGAATAAGTCATAATGTCCAAATTAATGGTCTTTAAAGGAGAGGAGATAGAAGTATTGTTGAAGGAAGAACAGTGTGTTGAAATGAGCACATGAAATATTACTGGTAGCCTGGACTACTATTTCTTCATGAATGTTACATGCTAGAGCCATGGTGGCGCAGTGATCAGAGTGCAGTATTGCTGTCTACTTCTGTTGACAACCGGCTGCCTACAATTTGGCAGTTCGAATCTCACAGGCTCAAGGTTGACTCAGCCTTCCATCCTTCCGAGGTGGGTAAAATGAGGAGCCAAAATTGTTGGGGGCAATATGCTGACTCTATAAACCGCTTAGAGAGGGCTGGAAAGCACTGTGAAGTCTTATAAGTCTTATTGCTATTGCTATTCAGCTTTTTCCAGACAAAAAACTAAGGCAAAGCATCAACAAACTAGCCAGAGAGGCAGATCTGTTGGGATGTTTACAGTTTGTAGGCATATTCATGCTTCATGAGTAGTGGAACTGTGGGATCTGTATTCTAAGATCAGAAGATGACTCTGTCTTTGTTGATTTTACATTACAGCTTTTCAGTTAAAGCTGCAGTTTTGCTGTACGTTAGTTGGTTTGTTTCTTGCAATGAGTTGGTTCTTATATTTGATATTACAATATTGGCATCGTTTAATGCTTGTGCTAGCTATTTCTTTGGAATAAACTTCAATGTAGGAAATCTTATTCAACCTATTCTCTAAGTGGAGTGTGATAGATCCCTGTTTCTACAGATGTGATGCATAATGCCTTTTTTGTGCTACAATTGTAACTTGGAACAGTCACTAAATGAATGTTTGTAAGTCAAGCACTACCTGTAAATACCTTTTCAACCCTCATTTTAAATACAAGTGTGCTTTGTGGTTTACGGCCCCATTCTGTCAACAGCTTTGAATATCATTTTGTATGAAGTTTGCATTAATAGAAATGAAAGCATTGCTCCTCCTTGGAATGGGACATTTAGGCACAGACCTTTAGCTGCGCCTCCTTCGCCCCCAACCACCCGTTTCAGCACATTAACAGCCAGCTTTCCATCTCTGCTGGCCCTCCCCCACCCATTCTTCATGGCTAATGGACCCCTGGCCCTTTGTTCTTCCCATTCACCCAGAAAGTGTTTGACATGGGCCTTTGGCTGTATGGGACAAATAGCCCCAATTGGGTGCCAGGCAGGACCATGGCTTCTGTGATTGCCTTTCGCCTGAGGGGCCCAGGAGAAAGGCAAGACTGGCGCGGCTTCCAAAATTGCAGGGGTACATGACTTGGGGGCAGCCAAATTGTTGTTGTGCTATTTGTCTTAGCTTTAGTAATGTAGCCCTCTGCTTTTTTGGACCCTCTGTTTTTTTTAGTCCAATCCTTCTTTACTATATCTAACACATACCAACGCTGTCTCCCATACAGTAGTTCTAAATGGCTGAATTCTGTAGATGATTGTGGTGTACATGAACCTAAAATAAGAAAGCAAATGTCCTAGTACTTTAGATTTTGAGATTTCTTCAGCATTTTAGTATGTGGTTCAGCCACTTTGTCTGAGGGTGATTGGGTTTGGTCCTCTGCTACCAAGTTCTGCCAGAGATTTGGAATGGACAAATTTATATTTATTGATCTCCAGCTGATGGGCTCCTTTTCTAGAGCAGGGTGAAAACTTGGTGGTGAAAAGTAATTTGAACAGGATACTTGCTTAACCATTCAGTGTGGGAAAAATATCAATCTTCGTGTGTTTCTTGTACGTTGGGTCTTTCAGGTAGCTTGGTTCACACTAGCTAATTGATGTTGGAGAGCAAACTAGTCTTCCACTGCACATTGCTTTTGTATCTGCACCTTGCAAAGGTGGTATTGTATAGGACTGGTTGTTAAGTTGGTCTGATGGCTCTTAACTTTAGCTAAGGTTCTGTCTTGTTCCTTGCTCGATGATTTGTTGCCCTCCAATGGAAGCTTCTGGCTGGGTCCAATTGGAATTCTTTACTGCTATTTCAGTTGAGTTTCCCCTCAACTGTAGCCTTTTAGCTGCAGGATAGTGTTCCAGTCTTTTGATTTAATAATTATAAAGTTATTTGATTTTGACATTTTCCTCTTGGCAAACTCATCTATTGTTGGCAATTTTAACTTGCAGAACTATACCCTTTTTCTCAATATTTAACACTACATATATTAACTGCAACAAGAATAGTATTTGCTCAAAATTGGAAGGGGAAAAATATCCCTCCAGATGCAATGATCGTAAGAAAGATACTTGAGTGTGCAGAGATTGATAAATTGACCATGAAACTGAAGGTTAGAGAAGAATCTGAGTACTATAAAGTGTGAAGCAGATAGTATAAATGGTTGGACGATAGATGTGAGATACTGTATAAGAACTAAGTATTATTTATGACAAATATGATAACCCTGTATAAATTTGTAAATATATTTTAAGTGATTATATGATATAGAATATATTAAGAGAATACAGAAATAGAACTTATGTAAATACAAATGATATCTACAATACTGATATGGACTCACTGTAATGAATGGAAATTTGTGTTGTTTTTTAATGTTAAAAAAACTTAATAATATTTTTTTTTTAAAAAAAAGAAATTTGGATTGTACAAGTTTTAATGGCACAGAGTTGGAAAAGGGCCAGAAGGCAGTATTGGCTTGCCTTCCAATAATTGTACAGCTATCCAGCATTAGAAGATACTGTAATTTTAAATGTTCGTTAAGGTATTTTATCTTAAGATTTTTCTGAGCTTCAATTTATTATATATATATATATATTTATAAATAAATAATAATTGTGGTACAATGATTTTGTCTGTAAAGATTAAAAAATGATTGGTTTTTCTCACAGAAGACAGCGAGGAAAAAAAAGAACTGAATCACATAGAAGAAAGGGAGCCCAACAAGGAGGAGGAGAAACCTCCAGAAAAATGTATGTATAGCAAAAATAAGAAATTCATACCTCTTGCAGGAATTACATTGCACTATTTTTGTATGTTGGCTATACTTCAAAATGGTTTATATGTGTCTGCATACTCTTATTATAAACAATGACTAAATGCTGTTTGTTTCTTCCTCATTTTCTTCCCCTCTGCTACCTTCAAATCATGTTTTGTGATTCTATATGCTCTGGATGCTTTAGGGTTCTATGTTAAAATCACCACCTTATTTTTGGGTAGTCCTATTTTTGATTTTTTCTACTGATAGCCATTCTGTCACTTGAATTATCTACTATGTGAAATTTCATGGTTGCATACAATATGCTTAAAATGCAGAAAAACACATCAATGTGTTAAACGTTTTTCATAGGACTGAAGTCCCATTCGTTGTGTCAAATATTAAAATTAGTAGGAAAGCAAACATTTTCAAGTTCACTTTAGTTCTCAAATTATTTAGCTGCCTTATCACTGCTGAATCCGTAGACCATGCTAAATCTTATACCATAATACTGTATGTGCATATATGATGCAAGATTGGCAAGAAATATTATTTAGTGTATACCATATCATACATGGACTACCAACATATATTAACATTTCATCTACATTAGTAAAACACATTAAATATAAAAGTTAAAAAGATCTGTTCAATTACCAATGTCTAGACCATCTAACCATTGAAGTGCAGCATTGTTTATTTTTAAAAAGTCAGATTCTGAACCAGTATGTCCTCAGCTTACAGTCACACTGAGGGGAGGATACTATGCCCCAGGTATTCAGAGAGTCCTGACAGAGGCCATGTGAGATACAAATCCTATTCAAGATTGTCAATTGCTGACATCAGAGTTCAAAGCCTGGCACCTTTTGTGGTGTCATTTATATGTCTTCCTAAATCTGGGAGTTCAGCAAGCCATTTGGCTTTCTATTGGGAATTGATGTTAAGGTTGTTGGGCAAATATTATGTAAGTGCAGGGGAGGCTTCCTGGATTTGAGTCCTACAGCTGACCTCGGTTCGCCCACATAACACCTATCCTCCGCGAGCTGTGCTGGCTACCTGTTGATCTCCGGGTGCGCTTCAAGGTGCTACTTACCACCCATAAAGCCCTTCATGGTAGTGGATCTGCGTACTTGAGAAACCGCCTCCTGCCAATTACCTCCTTGCGACCTATTAGATCGCACAGATTAGGCCTCCTCCGAGTTCCATCCGCCAGTCAGTGTCGACTGGCAACTACACGGAGGAGAGCCTTTTCAGTAGTAGCTCCGACCCTTTGGAACGATCTCCCCGTGGAGATTCGTACCCTCACCACCGTCCAGACCTTCCGCACAGCCCTCAAGACCTGGCTATCCCGTCAGGCCTGGGGATAAAGATCGTAATCCGTCCCCACCCGAATGATGAATGTTGTGTACTATTTTTACTATGTATTGTTTTATGTCTTACTGTCTTGTACTCCCCTCCCTATATATTGTAAGCCGCCCTGAGTCCCCTCAGGGAAAAGGGCGGCCTATAAATAATAAAACCATAAAACCAACCATAAATGAGGAATGCCAGCATGCACCAGTAGGAATGGGTTATTCAATTTTTTTTTCACTATTCTTTCATTAGTGCATCTTGCCTACATAAAGCTGGTGGTGCTATATGGCTCAGAGCAAATGGAATTACAAATTAGGTTTCTGCCACTGACCTATTCCTTCTACAAGATGTTACCAGTTTTTCTTACTGGGTATTATCATTTTAAGAAACATAGCAACATCATGCCTGATTCATATTCACATTGTTTCTAGTGAAACAAAGGGGTCACATCTTGCCACCAGTTTGCTCAATGCAATGGAATAATTACAACTATTTTCAATATTTCTATCTTAATTTTTGTAAGCATAAATTTTAAAAATTAATCTAATACATTGCACACCCATGGTTGAGAATTATTGAATATTTTTTATTTATTATGAACAAAGAAAAATAAATATTGTTTCCCATTGGGTTTTTAAGGGTGTATCACACCCTTTTTAAAATTGCTTTTTCTCAAATTTGATGAAGCTGAATTACTTGAGGATTTGAGAGTTTTTGTTTTTTGTTGAGAGAATCATGGTCTTGAAAAGGGCAACTAAGAAGTCTATAAAAATCAAAATAAATTTTAGGTGAGGCATCAAGAAGAAAGCGTTCTAAATCAGAAGATATGGATAGTATTCATTCTAAACGCCGGCGGTATCTGGGAGATTTTGAAGCAGAATTTGAAGTAAAAATTACAACCAAAGGAGATGTTCATCAGAAACTTGAAAAGGTAAATATAACATTCTTGATTTGGGCACTGTGTTTTTTGCCTTTTAATTTAAAATACTTTCTCTTTGTTCCAGCTATATTGAAAGTTTTAAATCCTTAATCTTGAAAATAAATGCTTGGTAGGAGTATATGCTTTATAAAGAAGAAAATTATAGATGCTACTATGTTCCATTGTTCTTGCCTAAGTCGTATTTCTTTAACATTGGCTGAATAACAAACCCATTTTTCCTTTTACCCATGAGATCTGAGATCCCTTTCCAGCCTGCGGTAATGTGAGGGATTGTGGCAGAGGTGGAGTAGCTATCCACAACACTCCCAGTTTTTCAATGGCTCTTGGGAAAATTAATAGCAATAGCACTTAGACTTATATACCACCCCATAATGCTTTACAACACCGTCTGAGCAAGTTACAATGTCAACATATTGCCCGCAGCAGTCTGGGTCTTCATTTTAATGATTTCAGAATAATGAAAAGTTGTGTCAACCTCAAGCCCATCAGGATCAAACTTCAGTTTGTGGTCAGAGTTAGTCTGCAATACTACCTTCTAACCTCTATGCCATCAGGACTCCTAATTAATTATTTAAAATTAATTGCCCATCCCTACTCTAGATTAGAGGGGTATACTTTTGGGTGGGCTAACCAAAGCCTGCTTATTAAAGGATTAAGTAAATTTCATGTATTCCAGAAAACCAAAACCTCATTTCGTCACCAGCACTCTCACTTCATTGTTGAAATTTAGTCCAGAGCAAGCACTTTTCCACCACTGTTGTTGTTACTTGAGGAAGGAATTGTGAATTGCTGCTGCTACCATGTTATCAAAGAATCTACAAGAAGTGGTGCTTCAGAGACAGAACCACACAATCAAAAAGATGATCAGCATCAGTAGTATAAATTCTTATCTGATGTTGTCCCTGTGGCTATGTTAGCAGCCATAACCTACAGCCATATGTATGGTCCTGACCAGATCCCATTTATTTGCAGGCCACCAGGCAACTCCACTTTCCTGGTCTTTCAGAAGGCTATTCTCAAGTTTTTGTGCTGTACCAATTCTGAAAACAGCTGCTGCCACCTCCAGCTAAACCTAATTCAGCAACAAACCTCCACAATCCACACTTACCCAACAAATTCTGTGAGCCCTAAATTAACATATTCCTATAGAGAATCGTATAGTTGACCTTGAAGACTTTTAGCAAAATTTCATTCAAGGCCAGGAAGACAAGATAGCAGAATCGAATGAAACTTAAGATTGTCCCGCTTTGACTCTCTTTGGTATAGAAAAGGGAAAATACTTTTAAGCGTTTAAATTTTTGCTTCTTTAGTCTATTTCAATAAAGTAGCGGTCCAGTATTTATTATGAAGTCCACTTCTTGAGTGGCATATCTCAAAGAGCTCACTATATCCATCTTTGGTGCCATTTTTTAAAAAAAATATGGAATTATTCATAAATGTGTTGTGTGGAGGCACTTCTGGTGGGGAATGGCAAATTGATGTACACTCACAGCCGGAGACGTGGCCAAAAGGCAGTTGAATATGAGATCCAGACTGCCATGAATTTTCTCTGAATTAAAGAGAGATCTTAAAATTACCCTCAGGCATTCTGAACAGCTTGGGGTGGGAGTGGGGTTACAAATTAATGGCAGAAACTGATGTTATTATAATCACTTGTAGTCAACTGAGAATCACAGCTTCCATCATCTGAGCTGTTAATGCAGCCTTTTAAGGATTCAAAGTTCAATCAAAGCTCATCTTCATTACTTTGGAAGTTAATTTTTACATTCTTTTTTAAAGATTGAAAAATCTTCATAATTGCATGTTTGGCATTCACTGGGTGAATTCAACCTATTTAAAAAGGAAGAAAATTACATTTTTCCAGCTTTGTAAATTTTTTGAAATATATTGGAAAAGGATGATTATATCAAGAAAGTTTTTAAATGCTGAGTTTGAATCAATGAAATTGATTTAAAAGAAGACTTTGAGGTGAAATAAAAAGATGCTCTCACATGTGAAAATCTCATTTTGTGCTGATTATAAAACTTAGAAGGTTGATCGCTAGAGACTACCATATGACAACTTGAAACATTTGATATTTGAATCCAATAAATATTTGAGTTATTTGAATTCTATATTAGAACCAAAAGCTGTTTATTGAACAAGTTTCATTAAATTTAACTGAGCCCACAAACGCAGAGCCCTGTTCCCTGTGTCTGATATCGCCGTGACGCCAACCGGAAGTTGGAGGAAGTTTCTTTTTAGTACATGTGTAAAATTAATTAACAGATTATATGATAAAGAAAAGTACATGCTGGTTACCGTTTTTAGTGTCTGTAATTGCATAGCTTCAGAGAGCAAAAATAGGGAAAGCATTTAGATTTATGGAAGATATTAATTGAATGGTTTTCTGAAACGGATCTGAATCGTTCAATTTCAATTATTTGTTTCCTTGGTTTCAGGGATATGTTTTTTAATCTAGATATGTGCTTCAATTTTATTAAAGCCAATGGAAAATACCAGCCTGTGGTAATTTACACTTTAGCTATTTTTAAATAACTAGTCTTTAGTAAGCAGATCTTGCAATCTAAACACTTCCACTAAGAGTAATTTTATCTAGGCTTGTATAGTACCATGAAAAAAACCAATATTTTACAAATATTGTAAACGTTTGCTGATCTTCACTTAAGAAGTGCTAATAAGTGAGGGTATGAATTGAAAATAGAATTCACTGAATGTGTCATCAATGCAAATATATTTAAGATCTGTTTTTCATAGATAACTATATATAATAAGCAAATAAACATTTTAAATTAATTTTATTTCATTTTTACTTAGATGTTAAAATGAAACACATTTTAATGCTAACATTTAAAACAAAATTTAATCTTAACTAGCTTACTTTTTCACAGGTCATCCATCGTTTTCTAGAAGAGAAATTTAGTGCCATGGAATGTGCTTTGTTTGATAAAACTCTAGAAGATTTGAAAAGCAGAATAGATAAAATTGAATGCAATAAGAGACACAAAACCGTCATTACAGAATTACAGGTATCTATGTTTATATGTCTGATACTTAATAGAGTTATTTTTCCTCCAATATTAAAATGCAAGACACTTGTTAATTAAATAATATGTTCCTCGGACAAATATCCCCATTTGTTCTTTGTTTCAAAATTAAATCTACTGTTCACTTTATGCTAGCTACTGACATAAGAAAAAAATATTATCAGATCCACTATTTACTTTGCTAACATAAGACTAGAGTAGCTGAATAGGTTCAAGGACATTTTTCAGTCAACCTTCTTTCATTCAAATTTGATTTGAATGATAATCTTAGTTATTCAGAAGAAATACAGGGGGATAGCTGGGGAAGAAAACAGGCTCCTTTTCTGTTCAACAAGTACAGGTCTCTCATCCAAATGCCTTGCACTGAATGGAACTACAGTTAATTGTGAAAAACAGCAATGTATCACAAGAAACACTTGACTATTTAGACCACGGGTGTCAAACTCAATTTCACTGAGGGCTGCATCAGGGTTGTGGGGGTGTCCATGATAGGCATGGCTAGCTCAACGTCACTCATGTCGGAGGCACCTGTGGTGGCCCGAGTACTCTTGTCAGTAAAAATGGGCTCCCAAACTCAGTTTTCGGCTGTGACAGCCTCCTGCAACTCTCTGCCAACAAAAACAGAGCTCCATTTTCTTTGCCAGAGGCACTGTGGGGTGGTCCTTTGCTGTTTTCAGTGCAACTTCACGGGCCAGATCTAAGCACTCCACGGGCCGGATCTGGCCCCAGGCCTTGAGTTTGACACCCCCGGTCTATGACAATTTGCCACAGCCAATTCACCATGGCAAACTCATTATGGCCAACTTGCCTCAGCCAACTCNGGGTGGTCCTTTGCTGTTTTCAGTGCAACTTCACGGGCCAGATCTAAGCACTCCACGGGCCGGATCTGGCCCCAGGCCTTGAGTTTGACACCCCCCCCCCCCCGATTTAGACAGAAAAGAACCTGGCACATAAATATACAATATGCGGGGGAAACAGTGTCAAAAGAAAGGAGAGAAGTTTTGCAAAATCAGCCAGGATTTGGGCTGGAAAAGGTATTTTTGGAGATAATCTTAAAATGCGGAGTCACTTGACAGACTATTTATTTGAAAGATATTGTATGGATAATATTGCTTAAACTTTTCTGACTCATACTTGTTCTGATAGTTCTAATTTGATGGCATCAACACTTCCCTACCCCTTTCCTAATGGATTCAGCTCACTCTGTGTTGACAGAAGTTTGAACACCTGCACTGATTCTGTTGCAGCCTCTACTCACAATTTGTAGGAAGTAGAGATATGCTTCCCCCCTCCCACCATTAACTTTTCTAGTGTAAGACTAGTGGAGCTAATGATGGGTTGGTTGTGAAGGTTACCATCTAGCGATGAAAGGAAAATAGCTTCATCGTCTGAAAAAAGATGATCACTTTTATTCCAAGTAGTCCAGCCTGTTCTCCTTTTCTACCACATTTTTTAAAAAAGAAAACCACTGTTTTTTCTTGATGAAACCAACATTATAAAACTGAACTATATCATTAATTTATTGAGACTATATTTCATTTTTTCCCCTCATTTTGAGGCTAAAATTGCAAGATTGACAAAACGTTTTGGAGCAGCTAGAGAAGACTCAAAGAAAAAACCAGAAGTAAGAACAGAACTTTTTATTCTATTGTTGATTGACTATTAAGCTCACAACTATTATTTGTAATAATGCAAATTTTAGTATACCAGTACCTTATTCATGTATGTTTTAAGCTAAAATACAACAATGGAATCAGGTCCATTCTTTTGTATAATTATGAATTTATGTGTTAACTTGGAGAAATTATTGGGTAATACACATAAATTTGTGGACTTGTATTTCTAAATTGAAATGAGATAACAAAACCTTTTGGAGTTTCCCAGTTGGAGTAAGATGAATGCCATAGTGTCATTTTCATTGAATGTTTAGCTGTAACTGACAGATTAGTGTGATCACTTGTTAATACCTACAATATTTAACTAGTACACTATAATAATTCTTACTTGCTAAGTTTTCTAGAAGAAAATTAAAGGATTAAACATCCCATTAAACATATTATTGATTAAAACTAAACTATGGCTGCAAAATTACATTTAAAACAGGTTATTTTAATTTTAGTTTTTAAATAATTAAACTAGGCATATCCAACCTGTGGCCTGTGGTTCCCATGCAGCCCTGAGTAGCTAGTAATGTGGCCTTATTTATACATTTATTTATTTATTTATTTGTTTGATTTTCTACCTATCATTTCAAAGCAACTCTCAGCGGTTTACAGCATTAAAAGCAATAAAAACCATAAAAGATAAATAGTTATAAAACAATAAGAATGGAATTAGAAAGATAAAATTATACTTAAAAGATGAGAAGAAAGGGAGCAGGATGTACTGTGTGTGGAGAGGTGGGATTGCCTCTTAATTCATCAATCACCTCCAATGTGATGCTACCCTGTTGGGGCCCCAAGCCATCTGGTAGAGCCAGGTCTTCAGGTCTTTACAGAAGATCAGAAGGATGAGAGCCAATCTCACCTCAGGGGTGAGATATTCCAAAAGACAAGAGCCACGGCAGAGAAGGCCCCTTTCCTGGAGCTTGCCAGTTGAAATTGCTTAATTGTTGGGGTCTGCAGCATGCCTCCTTTGCCAGAATGGGTGGGGTGGGCCAGTCCCATATCTATACATTGACTATATTATATATTTTATATGTTGCCCAAGATCATCCCTCTTCATTCAATGCAGCCCAGGCAAGCCGAAAGGTTGGATACACCTGCCTTAGACCATAGAGGATAATTTGGTGTTTTTATGTATGCTATATTGCCAAAAATATTCGCTCACCCATCCACATAATCAGAAGCAGTTGTGAGCAAATACTTTTGGCAATATAATGTATATTTCATAATTAATTGTATTACAAATTTATTTGAAGAAAAAAGAGCATTCATAATTCTAACATATCTTCATGTTTATGAACAAGGGAAAAATCAGTTCCAAAAAGATGCTTAAGTATCTTAACTTTTAAAATAAGAATGGGAACGCTAAAACACCTTACCTTGATATAGTCCCTGATAGATGTTTACTATTGCTACATTAATACATTATCAAGCAGCAGGCTTGTTTTGATAGTTTAGATATGTCAGTTCATTTAGTATATCAAAGACTTCACGGGAGAAAATATATTTATATTGTATCATGAAATCTAATAATATAAACTTGAGATTTTCTGAAAGAAGTGTGCCTAAAATAGAACTATCATTTATGAAGTACAAAATTTAAGTTGCAAATCTCACATTGGTTTGTGTCACTTTGTAGATTCTACAAAACACAGCTCATTCCCCAGGAAAAGCAGTGAGTGATACAGGCAGTGTCAATAGTGTGACATTTCGGTAAGCTGCAACTCCCTAGTTATTATACTTTTTGGAAATTTAGTTAGAAAGATAACCTGCAGAAAAGTACAATATTTTGATGGCAACTATATTTCACATTTTATTTATAAATGTGCCCTTTTTTCCTGTTACCCAAATATATGTTAATCCATTCTAATGATGGAAAGCATAACTAGGCATGGGGAATTCTTAGGGCAAAAGTGAGCAGCTTGTAGTTTTCAACTCCTGTATGCCTTAGTTGTTGAGAAATAATGGCAGCTAGCATCACACAATATATGAAAGCCAGAGATTGCTTGTTTTAAACTATGTTGGTTCAATTTTTTTTAAGGCTTTGTATTGCATATACAGTAGGTATGCAGAATTCAGTGATATAGAATGATTTAGAAAAAAAAAGAGTAATATTAAATTATTTAAATTTTACAATAGTTTTTCTTTTGGGCTTCCTCCTCTACTTGATACAACTAACATAAATCTTTGTTCTGTAGAAATTCTGGCACAGTAAGACAAATGCTAGAGACCAAGAGAAATGTAGGAGACACTTCATCAACTACTTTTCAATCCCCTGTGAATACAGGTAAACCCTATCTCAATTATTTATATAATTACTTTTATGGCACATTTTTAAAATCAAATAAGTAAAAACTGACTTGATATAATTCAGCCAAATGAAAGTGATTTAGATGAAAATAACATGCTGTCTTGTTTAAACCCATCAAACAATATCTGAGTCTTAAAATGAAATACGTAGAGTCTTGTCCTTAAACTTAATATACAGTTTTATATATATAATTTTTACATTTAAAACAATGCAGTACGAAATCGAAGTGACTGTATACATTCACGTTATATACAACTAGTCTTAACCATTAACTATTAGCCTACTTAATACATTGTTTATCCTTCTATCCAATCACAATATATACAGTTTGTTCCAGTCTTGTCACCTTGTCTTATACCA